AACATCTAAATTTAAAAAAATGAAAAATGCAGAAGGAGAACTTTTGCCTGGATAATAAAATACATTGAAGGACTAAATAATTTCCACAGACACTCACCTCAGTCATAAATCTACCTGGCCTGTTGTTTAAAACTCAGAGACGCCGACATGAGCCTCACAAACAGGAGATAAACGTCTGACAGCAAACAGACGGAAAAACATTCAGAGGATTTTTGCATTTTACAGACGCAGCACATCTTTTATTCTAATGTTTCCGGTAAATTTAAGCAGGCAAATGTTTTTTACAGATCATTAATGAGCAGAAAGACGAGCGCAAACACCGCAGAACGACTAACCCAACATGTACACAAATACATAAAGAGTATGAATATATATATATAAATGTGTGTGTGTGTGTGTGTGTTTGTGTGTGTGTGTGTATCCCTTATTGTCCCCCATTGAAAATAAAAGTTACTAAATTATTAAGGAATTATTTCCAAACAGCAGAGATCAGAGCTCAAACAGACTCAACGGGTCGTAAGACCAGAACGATCTGGACTTTTATTTCAGCAGGTCAGATTTCTAACGCAGATCGGATCAGTCAGCAGCTGCTTCTTATCCGAAGTGCTGCCGTCTGAGTCCTGACTGAAACCAGGATGTCGGCTGACACAAGAAGGAAAATTATACCAACCAGAAATATTTAATTCATCACAAAAACAGCTTTGATCCTCACAAGAGGTTAAAGGTCAAGTTTATTTCTACAGTACATTTACAAGCAGTTCAAAGTTCCTAAAGTAAAACTCATCATACAGGCATCAGTTATGAAACCAGTGATATTACATTTAGTCAAAAATCATCATTAAAATCATCAAGCAAATACACATCAAATATATTGATTAATGTTTTATTTAATATGGTTTAAAGACGGTTTCAAACAGCTGGGAGTTTAGTCTGGAGGAACTCAGACGCTGCAGAGACTGAAGATAAAAACATGCTGAGTCAGGAGTCCTCTGACCCTGGAGACGTTCTGCAGGTGATGGAAGGCCGACTTTGGAACCGTCTTTATGTTTCTCTGAAGGTTCAGGTCAGAGGTCATCCTCATCTCTAGTCTCCAGCTGGAATGACTGAAGCTGTGCGTTGACTCTAGATCTATAACTCTAGATCCTTCCTCTCTAGGTCCAAAGGCAGCAACTTCAGTTAAAAGTTAAATCTGATCTGATTTTCTGTCCCTCTTCCTCAGGCCTTATTCTGGCTTCCACACGGTAGTTTTACTGTCTTGTACAAGTAAAGCAGAGGTAAAATCAAGCTGCTGGGCATACCGAACCAGAGCAGAGAGATCTCCAGGACACAGTTGATGCTCTTAGCCATGACCCCTGACCCTATCAGAAAGGTGAAGACAAAGAACCCCAGGAACCACAGGCAGAGAACCCCCAGGATGGCCGTGACAGTAAAGCAGGCCCTCTGCTTTGTCTGGTCCACATGCTTCTTGTCCCCGCCTGCGTCCCCCGGCCCCGGGCTGATGAGAGCCAGGAGGACGCAGAAGCTGCAGAAAGAGACGAATATCAAGGCCAAGACGAGAAAGGACAGCAGCAGGACCAGAAATATCCCCGAGCTGAGCGCTGAGTTCACGGCGTACGTCATTAAGCAGCACAGCAGCCAGACGCAGACGATGGCGGCGTTCCTGAACGTGACGCCGCGCGTGTTGCGTAGGTCTCTGTAGACGACCGGATGCACCACAGCCACGTAGCGATCCAGACAGGTCAGGACGTGAAACGAGGTTTCTCCTATGAAAATGCTGGTTGTCAGGAAAAACCCCGGAGTCGTCATGGGGAGAACGCCGACGTGCGTTAGCAAAGTGTGCAGAGACGTCCCCAGAATCCAAACCCACTCCAGGACACACTGCTGGAAGGTGAAGATGTCGGAGTGGCTGGCTGCGCTGATGGAGCTCCTCTGCTGCTGCCACTTCTGGTAGCCCAAGTAGAAGATGAAGATGGACAGAGGAACGAAGAGGAGCAATCTGGTGGCAATGAAGGAAATGCCGATTAGAGAGGAAACCGTGTTGTTGGCACAACGAACGTCAGCCGAATCGAAGGAGGAGTTGGGAACGGCTGAGTTGACCGACATCCTGGTGATGATCTGTGCAGAAGAAAATAAACGTCAGAAAGTCTGAAACTAAACCAGTTTAGTGAAAATGTTGAAACTATTTGCATTTCTTACTAAACAATCAGAATCAGATTTATTCACTAAGGTTGTAGCTCCTGCAGCCGTACGCACTGAGTGCAGCTTGAGATCTTCCTGAAATCACGCTGTGGAGGAAAAATAAGGTCTTTTGTGTCAAAACATTGTGTCTGTAGCCCAGAGCTGGTGAATCTATGGGAGTGGACACATGTACGTCCCAAGCTTACATCTTATTGGTCAGTGTCTTTGGTGGGTGCTCTTTCTGTAAGCTAAAACTGAATGATCGGACTTTGATCCCTCCTGTTGTTTGGATCCAATTTGAGCTTTTTTACCATGTGCGGTTCTGGCGGGTCGTCGGTTTATGAGGTTCTTTTTGTGGTTTTGTAAACTGAAGAGCTGACGGGTCACCCAGTCAGCCGACCGTGACATCTGCCGCGCTCTTCCTGAGCGTCGCTCTAAGGCTGCGGGTTAAACAGTTAAATCTAGTCGACATGTTTGCCAAAAAGAAATTCAGCAAACATTCCTGCTGCTTCACCTTCTCCTCCTCTGGACGTCTGACACCACCTGAACCTGCAGATCTCCATCCTCCTGGATCACACAGGCAGGCTTTGCTTTCCCATCTTTATTATTTAATATAATTAGTTTAAAATAAAAAAGCTGATTGGCTGAGCTGTTTGTGTGGTTTGTACTGGTTTTGTGCTCCTGCGGGTCAGGGGCAGGGATAGTTTTGTGCTTTAACATCCTGCAGGCTCCTCTGTTCACACAAACAGGGAATCTGACTTCAGCTCCACTTTAAAAGTTTTCACAAGTGATTGTAAATTCTTTGGTAGGAAATCAGATCCAAGTCAGTCATGTTTTGGTGATTTTTATTTTTTTCTCTATAATATTTGATTCACAGATATTGTTGCTTCTCTTCAGTGGGTTCAAGTCGAAGCTGAGACACATTTCTGCTCAGAGTTTGGATGTTTTTCCCGCGGATGGATCAATTCTCCAGTTTCCTCACTCAGACACAGAAGTGCATGTTGGGTTTATGGCTCCAACTAACAATTATTTTGGTAATCAACTAATCGATTAATCATTTAAAAATTGGCTCTGATTTTTAATTTTAAACAAAATTATAAATACATTGAAAGACTAAATTAAATAAAAAATTGATTCATTTTAAAATAAGAAACATTTTATTGTCTGAAATGCATTAACAGTACTCCTCTAGTGAAGGCTTAATAATTTGTATCTAATGATGAATCTGCAGCTAAAAAACACTAATATCATCAAAATGTGTCAATACAGCATCACTGATCTGATAATTATTATTAATTGATTAATAATTGGGCAGCCAAAGGTTCTTAATAAGACATTTTATTTTACAGAATTTGAAGCTGAAGCTGAAAGTTGAGGAGTTCTGCGCAGAATATTTACAGCCAAACGTTTCTTAACATGTAAAATGTTGAACAGTTTTGACTTAATTTCTGCTCTGAGTCTGTTGATCTTTCAGTAAACAGACTTTTGGAGTCTGAGCACTCCAGTTATTAACGATTAAATTATTTATTAAACGATTCATCACAATTAATCCAGTTAATCGTTTTGTTGATGGATGTTACTATTTCAGAGGAGAAAACCATTTCCAGAGCACAACGTCTGCAAACCTTTCCACATATAGACTTATTTTTATTTAAATAATTCCATAAAATGCTGATAAATCATGAAGAGTCGAGTAACTGACCTTTGGAGAAGTGGTTAATCGTTTTCGTTCTGCCTCTGGAATCTGCACACCTGTCAGTCAGTCAGTGCTGACAGGTGTGCAGGTATATAACTGCTCCCTGTTTGTACAGTGAAGGTGATTAATCATGTAGATGTGACAGGGTTACAAATGATGCAGGGTCACATGATTTGCATGATTGGACCAGGACTTTATGCAAAAGGAAAAACTCCCAGCAAGCAAATGGAGGCTCATGGAGCAGCATGTGAACGTTCACGTGACTTTAGCAAAGATGAACCAAAACAAAGTTTACAGCAGTTACATCAGAGGCCTGGCAACAAGTCAAAGGGACATAATAAAACAGGTTGACAGAGTCAAATGTCACATTTTATTGGAATTGGCTGTATATGAGTGAAATCATGCTAAAGCAAAAATAAATTTTACTTTTGATCTGGTTTCACTTTATGAAATTAATTGAGTTAAATTTGATTATTTTCTGTATTTAAAGCTTTTATGTGGCAAATAACAAAAATTCACTCTCCTTTATTACCAAACAGGAAGTAATGCACCATCAGACCTAATGCTGTGCATTTCATAAGTATGACAAGTAAATATGGTTCTGGCTTAATGTTGTTTTATCCAGAAATGTGATTTACAGTCGAGCCACCCTGCAGCATTTTCATAAATATGTCAAAAAACTCCTTCAGTTCTGACACACAGTGAATTCAGACACAACTGCAGGATTTCTGAAAGTTTGAATCTGAAAATGACTCTTAATTTCATGCAGAAGCTTAGTCAGCGCTGACGAAAGTTCCCTCACATTGAAGAGGCTCCAGAAACAGAACATAAAACATTTTATGATTAATATTTAACGTCTCGGTGGTTTCAATTTACCCTTTTCTTCCTCGTTGGTGAGACGATCATTAATTATAGAGAGAAACAAAACGGTTGTGTGGGATTTGGTAGCTCACCAGGCTGGTGGCAGTGAAAGCTAAACGCTAATACGTCCAAATTTTATTCATTTCAACTGGGAAAATAAGACAAAACCAATTGGTTAAATGTAAATACTGAACTTTTACCTTTATACTGGCAAAGTGCAACAATTTTATGATGTAAAAAACAAAAACCAAGTAAACAGACAGGAAACAGCATCATATGATGGTTTATTTTAAATCAAACCAGTAAAAACCTGAAATTCATTACATCTACAGCTCACATCATGAGCTATGTTAGCATGTATACTTACAAACTAAAACACATCATATCCAATAAGCAACCAATCAATATGCACTTTAATAAAACTCAGTAGAAATACTGAGTTTACATCACTGACAGTCATGTTCCGAATATTTCTAAAAACATAATCCAATTATTCACATACATAAAATGCTACATTAGAAAAATAAATAACACAATGACAACAAAAAATACCAAAAAAAAGTCATATTTTTGAACAATAGACTGCAGTGGTTTGAATCTGCAGCCCAGCACTGCTTTAGCCATGCTCACCATCTTCTGTACAACAACTTCACAAACTAAATGTCTCCAACTTCTAACTTCATTTGGCTCCAGATTACCTAATTTACAATAATCTGTTGCATTATGAGTTGGACCAAGCTCCTTTTTTGTGCACGTAAAGTAAGGGTAAAGTAAGACTGCTGGGGAGACTAAACCACATCACGTAATAATCAATCGCACACCAGACGCTGTGACTGAACACATTGGCATATTTAGCCGCGGTGGCAATAAGAAATGCAAAAAACCACAAGAAAACCGCGGCCATTATAGCTGTGACCGTAAAAAACGCCCTCAGCTTCATCTGGTCCATTTGTCCCCTGGTTCTGTCTCTGTCCCCCGGGCCGGGTCGGATCAGCGCACAGAGGACAGAGCAGCTACAGACTGAGATGATGATCAGAGACAGAACCAGGAAACACAAGAATGAGATCATGGACAAGATGCTGTCGTGTAAAACTATGAGACAGGCCCACATCCAGGACAGCAGCCAGGCAGACACGATGCAGCCGTTCCTGATGGCGGCTCCGTGGCGGTTCTGGAGCCCCCTGTAGGTGACCGGGTGAACAACAGCCAGGTAACGCTCCAGACAGGTGAGAATGTGAAACAGGGTCTCTCCAAAGAAAACGACGCTGCTAAAAATGTAGCCGAAAACTGGAACATTTGGGAGATGAAAATAAAGCCCCAGAGAGGCGAGTCCTGCCCCCAGAGCCCAGATCAGCTCCATGACGGCCTGGTGGTAGGTGAAGACGTCCAAGTGGGTCGCTGCTGTAAAGGAGCGGCTCTGGTGGACGCCCAGGATGAGGACGAAGACGGACACAGGGAGGAGGAGGACGGCTCTGCTGAGGTTGAATGCAGAGGCAAGAAACATGATGCTGACAAAGTCACAGTCAGTTTGATCAAACTGAATGGACGAGTTGGAGGAAGAGGAGGAGGAAGAGGAGTTGGCTGACATTTTGAATGGATGGTTGATGTGGATCTGAGCAGACAGAAAGGAGGAAGAGGAGCCATTACAATATTGTAAAATTACAGTTAAAGAATTGGACATGAAGCACCTCATTAAACTACAAAATTCTAATTTTCTATTCAACAGAGCATCATTCAGTAGATAAATAAATCAAAACCTAAATCTACTTCAGTTCAGTTGATTTTTATAAACGACACCAAAGTTTGTCTCAAAACGCTTTACAGAAAATAATATACAGTTTTTATTCTTTCTTGAACTTGATCAGATATACCAAGTGTTTTGAAAGTGACCCAAATCCTGTTCTTATTGTTGAAAATAAATTTATTAATTTGAGCCCAAAAAAACCCTGAAAACTAGACGCCTTTGTTTTAGTACAAATAAATGTGCAAATTCTGCTACAGCATATAATATTAGAGTAATGCTAACAGTAATATTAAATATTAGAAATTTTCTAGAAAAGACAAAAATATTTACTCGAAAAAAATATAATTTTTAGATTAATCAAAAATTTTCTACAAAAAACTTGGAAATTTCTGAATTTCAAATGTTAAAAATTGTCTTTTGAAAATATTTAAGTTTTCTGGAAATTTTCTGAATTTTTGGCAGAAATGTATTCGTTTTGTTTTTATTTATTTATTTTTTAATCTATAATCGCTCTAATGTAAAAATCATTTTCCAGCTTTGGATCTGTAATAAACATCGCGATTCTTTATTTGCTTGACTTTAGATTTTGGTTACTTTTGAGTCTACAGTTTTAGCCCAGCAGAAAGTTTGGACACAAAGTTTGGTTAAATGCAAAACGTGCTGAAGTTCAGGAACATCAAGATGTGAAGGAGTAAAAACTAAGTTTCTGCCTTTTGTCGTGTTTTTGTGATACAGAGGAAAGGAAAAATGGAAACGATTATTTAAGGTTGTTACATCACTGTGATGAAGGTCTGCTGTAGTGGAATGGTCTCTTATGGGTCATTAGATTGAACAAAAAGGTCATTAAAATGGTTTCATAATGGAGGTTTATGAGGACAAGTCAAGAGTTGGAAGGTCTGTGAATTTTTTTAGCAACACCAACGATTCTAAGACAGCAGAAGAAGAAAAGCTGGATTTAGTTTTCCACTGTTAACATGAAAGTAAAAATCTGTCTGATCAAGATGAATGAACAAAGCTTCAGGGTGAAACATTCATGAAAACGAAAACAAATCACCACATCGTTCTACATGAACTGAAGCTTCTGGATTAAATGCACACCTCACATCATTCATAAACTCTGACCTCTACATGAACAACCTCAGCTCCCTGTTGGAGACGTGATGCTGTTTGTTTTTTACCTCAGATCTCATTTTCCATTCAGAGAATCATTTATTTCTCCTCCGTCCTGGTAAACGGCCACCTACCTGCCTGCAGAGCCGAATCCCCCAAACTGTCCCTTTATCTGGCCTGCAGTTTGTCTGTGTGCTTTAATAGCTGCTGCTGAGCTTCATGTCTCAACATGACAAATGACGTCTTTGCATGATGGGACTCATTCACACCTGACCTGAAGACATTTTCAGATTTCAGAGGAAACTCATTTTGTGCATCTCACACTTAAAAAAAAAAAAACAAAACTTTTTCTTAAGGAAACATAAATTTAATGAGGTGTTGGCACGTCCACCTGTTTATTTGAATATTGTATTTTTAACTTGTCATTTCTAGAAAATGTCTCTCCTTCCTCAGAGCGTCCAGGTGACAGAACACCTGTGAGCTCCTCACCTGTGGCTGTTTCAACGTGACGAAGCTTCAGCCTGGAAATCATTTGAATTTATTTCTGCTGTGGTTAAACTGCAGAATAAACATCAGATTACTGCAGTGGATCTGAGGTAATTAATTATAAGTGGATGACATGAAGACAATACACTTATTGAAAAACCTGTTAAATGTGTAAAAAGCCTTAAAATTAATGGGTTTTTAATTGCAGTAGTATATTTTTTTCAGATATCTTATTATATTTACTTACATCATACACAGATGTAAACACGTTAATATTTAAAATCACATTAAATTCAAAATGGCCAGATGTTTGGTTTGTTTCAATGAAGTTTATAAACTGTTTTGTGTAAAACTGTATAGCTTAATTTTGCTCTATGAAAGTTTTAAATCAGTAAAAATTGAACACAACCTTATTTTCTTTTATTCTGTTAAAATTTGTTAATTTTAACAGAATATCAATTATTGATGTTCATATATTTATCCAGGAATTCACTCTTTACACAAAAACAACCAGATGTAAAATAAATCATCCTGATCTGATGATGGCATCAGTTCACTAACATAAATATTACAGTAAATGTGAATTCAGTTAAAGAAAACTTGAGATCAAATGAAGAGGAAATGTTCCTCTCATTTCTTATTGTTTGCTTTAAACTTTAGACAAAGATTATCTATTTTAATTCAACATTAAAACAAAAGACACAAGGAATCATAAATTATACATATTTATTTGACCTACATGCTCAAACTCTTACAATTCAAAGTGAATATTTTGCATTTCAACCAGTAAAAGCAAAACTATCGTCACCAACACACAGCAGAAACACCAGGAGAGTTCCCCCTGCTGGTCACTGAGCAGAATGCAGGTTTATCACTTTAGTATTTTTATCTTACAAAGCAGAAAGTTTTTTTTTAATCCTTCATTTATAACCTGTGGTTTGTAACTATCTGCATGTTTTACACTCTTTAATCCAGTGATTATTTTTTACATATTTCTATCCAGTAGTTTGAAGAGCTTTACTGTTTAAATCACACTTTAATATATAAATGATAATTTCCCTCAATCATAAACACAACATAAACATACATTAAATGGAATAAAAAGAAAATTAAAACAGCAGATGTTTATAATGACATAATGTATAGATTCAATCTGGATTTATGTTCACTACATACCACATAACTTATCAATTCAAATCAATTCTGTTTCTATAAAAACATGTCGTCTTAAAACACAACTAAGAAAAACATCAAATTTATATACAGAAAAACAGAATCAGCTCAATTAAATCACACAGACAGAAAGTAAATTAGATCTCATCACAGTTATTAATCTGGTCAGTTCGGGTTATTATTCTACCAAATTAAAAAGTGATTAATCTGAGGAAACCAGATTACTGACCAGATTACTCCTCCTGGATGATCAACTGGTCATTGATTGGTTAATTGATTGATTTGTTGTCGGCTGAATTCAGTCTGGGACTTTGTAGGAACAGTGGAGGAAAAAAAACTCTCCTTTAACAAGAAGAAACCTGCAGCAGAACCAGAACCAGGTTCAGTGTGGATGACAAGTTAACTATTAATCAATGCTGAAAATGACTTCATGTGGATATTAATAAACAAGTTTTAGGTTTAAAATATGAAAATTAGTACGTGTAATTCAAATAAACCCATAGTGAAGTTATATAATACACATTTGCATTGCCTGTATAAACCTGACAGTGACAAAGTAGCAGGTAATAATAATAATAATAATAATAATAATAATAATAATAATAATAATAATAATAATAATAATAATAATAATAATCAGATTTACTTCAGGGGAAATTAAAGATGCTTAACTTAATGTCTAACATTTACCTTTGACTCAAAAAGTTCCCCATCAATGATGAGAGAAATGTTTTCTAATAAGTTAGAAATGATGCAGCAGTGGTTCGTTAATGTTTGTCTGGTTTTTATGACACTTTTAATCATTTCAGGACTGGATCATTTCCACTCAAAGATTTCCGAATAGTGTTGAAATGATTGATTACTTCAAGTTATAACAAAATAACTTCCTAATCATTTTGTTTGCAATGATGAATAGTTTTGTCTTGACTGAACCACATTTTACTCGACTGAAGAACTTTTCCAGAGATCTACCAACAAATCTCATCTCTTCTAAATCTGAATTTGATCAGTTGTTCAGTTTAAACCAGAAATGTTTAGTTTATTTCAGTGTCCATTTCTTGTCCTTCGCCGCCGTGTCCACACTGCAGCGTTCCAGTTTTGAGTAAATAAAGCAGAGGTAAGATCAGGCTGCAGGGCAAACTGAACCACAGCACAGAAACCTCCAGAACGCAGGAAACGCTCTGCGCCACCAGCGCAGAGCTGGTCAAAGAACTGGACACCAGGAACGCAAAGAACCACAAGCAGAGGACGCCGGTGATGGCGGCGACCGTAACGAACGCCCTCAGGATGCTTTGGTCAACAAGCTTCTTGTTTCCCGCCTTTTTCCCCGGGCCTGGACCAATCAGAGCGCAGAGAACCGAAACGCCACAGAAAAGCATGATGAGCACGGAGCAGGTCAGAAAGCCACTGAACAACCGGATGTAGATGACGGACCTGAGGTTGTTTGCTGCACAGCTAAACAGAAAACACAACAGCCAAACGCCGAAAACGGCAACATTCCTGACTGAAACGCCCCGGCTGCTACGCAGGCTAACGTAAAGGACCGGATGAACCACGGCCAGGTATCGGTCCAGACAGGTGAGCACATGAAACAAGGGCTCTCCTGGGAAGATGCAGGTACTGAGGTAGGTACCTGCCATGGACATGACCTCCAGGTCCATCGACGACCCTAAAAACTGTAACACAGTACCCAGAATCCAGACCAGCTCCAGGACGCAGTGGTGGAAGGTAAAGACGTCAAAGTGGCTCATCGCCGTGAAGGAGCGCCGCCGCCGCCGCTGGGCGCCATGGCAGAGGATGAGGAGCGACACCGGGAACAGGAGGAAGACTCTGGTGGAGATCAAGGCCAGGCCGATTCGCGAGCCGTCGGTGTTGTTGCAGCGAGAATGTCCAGAATCCAGGGAAGAGTTTGGAAAATGGAGCAAAGACATGATGGCTGTCAGATGACCAAGTCTGTAAAGAAAAGGAAATCAAAGTAAAGCCAGAAATATAAACATTTTCAATATCCAGAGCCTGTAAGGTCATGAAAACCTTAAATGTTTTAAATGTTTGAGCTAGAAAAATGTCTTCAACTTAGACAAATAAGCAACGACCTCATCACTGAATCAATAGAGAAACATATAACATCAGGAATTGTTTTCTAAAAATGATTTATAACTTTATTTCAACCTACGAATCATTTTTAAAGACATTCTTATAACATTTTGTTGTTTGCCTAAATGTGTGTAGAAATGATCAGAGGAGCAGCGTTAACACCTGCAGGTCTGAAGATACAGTTAGAGACAAAAAGGTTGAAATATTTTAACATTTTCATTCCTTAAAGTTTGGATTTAGCTAAAATTGTAGTCAGGATATACATGTTTTTTCTGAATTATTTAAAAACATGTTTTCATCACAGGAAATGCTCAAAACGTTACTAATGAGCAAATATAGGTCTGGAAAAATAGAGAGAACTTTAAATGACCAGTTTGTCTGAATATATCTGATAAAATGAACGTTATTCTTTTATTCTATGAACTACTGACAACATGTCTGGAACTCCAAGCAAATATTCAGAAATGGTCATCAGAGCTTTCAGACCTCATGCAAAGAAAACAAGTTGATATTAATTTAGAAACAGCAAAACTAAAGTTTTAGAGAGAATCAGTGATTGGTGGAGAAACCAGGAGGTTTTCTGTCGTCTCTTCGTTTTTAAACTCACCTCAGAAGAAGCGACTTTTTCCTGCAGCCGTTTGAAACGCAGTCCTGATCAAACGAGCGCCGATTAAAAGCTGCGTTTGTCCAAATGATTCATTCAGTCGATGACAAGATGACAAACGATGAACTGAAGCTGCTTTGCATGATCACAAATATCAGCAGGGAGACGATTTGTTTTGCTTTGAGAGAGAAAAACCAGAACCAGAACCAGCAACAGAACCAGAANCAGGAAACCATCCCATGAGGCCTGGAGGGTCAGACCACTGGTGTAGATCAAAGTATATCAATGTGTTTGATCGGCTTAGTCAAAACCTAGATTTAAATCCAACTGTGAATTTGAATCTTTACAAAAACTCTGAATCCAATCAGTTTGAATTAGTCAGTAAAAAATAGAAGTAAATTTCTGTTTGTAGTTTTTTATATGTAAAGCTGGTAGAGATGTAACTGCAGATGGAGAATTTGAATCTAAATAATTTGATTTTTATTAGTAAAACATTTGAAACCACATATTTCTTTTCTTCTACTTCACAAGTATGAACTCTGCTTTTTTAAACTAAACCTGAAAGAAACCAAGAGGCAAAATATGACAAGCTTGACAGTTTGTAGAGAATGTGTTTAGTTGTTTATGGTTTTCACCTGTTGCAGGTAAACCTGCATCATGTTATCAGACAAATATAATTAAACACAGTGACGAGCCCTAAGAGATCAAAAACTGTTCATATTCTTAGGCAATCTTAATAAATTAGTACAGAAAATACATTTAAATGATTACTTTGACACAACAAGAAGCAACAAGAAGCTAAAAGACGTTTTAGAATTAAATTTAACTGGATAAGCTTCAGATTTGACGCACCTGGTCAGACGGCTTTGGTTCTCGTGGTCTGCTCAGAGTTTCAGTCTCATCAAAGTTTCTGTCCAGCCTGCATGGATTACTTGTTTATGTCAGAATGACAGAAGAGCTTTTTGCATGTTTCACCCAGGATCATGATTTACAGTGAGAAGGCAAACGTTTTCCAGCAGGGCCCTCAACCACACCTAGTTATTCATCTTAAGCCTTGAGCCACAAAACACAAAGCATATGCAAAATTACTGCATATTCTGGATTTAGTGAGTTTTTCCATGAACTGCTAAAGTGTAGTTCCTGGAAATTTTCAAAACTAAATTTTGTGATAAAATATTGAAAAGAAGAATGTCAGTGGCTGGAAATAGTATGAACAAAATTTCAGCTTTTCAGCCCTTGTCTTAAAGATTTTAGTAAAATATTTCTGTAAATCAACGTTGAGGTCGACTAGAAGGGCATTAAAAACTTACAGAGCAAAAAAAGGAAAATCTAATCAAATTTTCCATTTGAATTGTTCCAAACTGCCTTTGGCCTGGTTCAGTACGAGTCCAGCAGCACGTTTTAAAGGTTTCTCCAAAATCCGGCCTTCTGGACGGACAAGAGTTATGGCCACTTCCTGTTTTGTGGCGAAGAATTTGTGAGGACTTCCTGTAGCTGTTGGAACTTTGTGAACCGAGATACGGAGGAAACGAACTCCGTTAGCAAATAGATTACATGACTTTCTTGACCGGACTCTTGTCTAACTTGACCTCTGACCTCGTGAAGCCGATCCCTTGTTTGACAGTTTCAATGCTTTTTAAATCCCTGAGAAACACACTGACCTCATGCTGCGTGAAATGAGTAGGAATTTAGTGTATTTATGTAGAAAACCGTTTCATTTATCTTCTAAAAACATTCATATAATTTCCTGTAGTGGAAAATTACAGCATTTCCTGGTATATGTTTGTTTTCCTGGCAGGAAATTTACTTCAGGGAGTTTCTTTAAACCACCGTTTGCTATAAAATTTTAAAACAAGGGACACATTTAGCAGTAAATGTATTTATTTAAATCATTTCATTACCCAAAGAGCTAACTCTCACCCAGCTAACTCCTTCCTCTGACCCTGAACCAGAACTCTGTCCAATGTGTGCAGAGATTCCTAAACATATTCATATTTATTGCTTTACTTGCTTCTGTTGCTTCCACCAGTTTCCTTTTCACAGTCAAACTTCTCCATCAACTCTGTTCTCTGCTCTGCCTGTGCAGTTTACTTCTTCTACTGGGTTCAATATTAATCCTGTTTAGTTTGAGCACTGCTGCCCCCTAGTGGCAGCTTCTCTTTACTTCCCCAGAGGGTCGTCGTCTTGATAAGTGCTGCTGTAAAATGTTTTCTTTAGTTTCTGCTGAGCATAAAAAGCCATTTTTCTGGAATGATTACGAAACAACCAGCTGGAAGTCATGATGAAGCTCAAATATATTTACAGAAATAAGATTGGAAGAAACAGAACAAATCTACAAATAAACAGAGGAAATCAG